TAGGGAGACCCTGTCTCAAAACCTGGAAAGGCTGGGGGTGGCTCAGTGGTGCAGCCCCCCTGGGTTCAGCCCCAGCACCAAAAAGAAGGAGTCGGGAGGAGGAAGAAGAATGCAGACCCAGGCCAGGCTCGTCGGGGCTTCTGCGCCCCAGGAGGGGGTCAGCACTGGCCCAGGTGTGGGCGCCTCACAGGGAACAGGGTTGTGCCTCTTTCCTGGCACCTCCGGGGCTGGCAGGGCCGGGTCCTGAGGTCCTCGCATGCAGGGGGGGCTCTGGGGCACCTGCCTCCTCTCACGTGCCACAGGCCTCGTCACTACCTCAGGTCTGTGCCTCGGGGTGTGGTTTGCTATGGCATGAGGTGACGGTCACGGGCCACTTCAGTGGCTCCCACACACGTTTGGCCCTTGCCCGGGAGCTGGTCCTCGTCACCTGGGAAAGCCCTGGCATCGCGTCCAGAACAGGGCAGACCAGGGTCCTGTCTCGGTGCGTCTGACTTTGGGGACTTCGTCTCGGGCCGTGTGGCTTCGCGGTCTTCTGCTGCCCACGTGGTCTCAGCCGAGCTGACTCCCAGCCTCCGCCTCCAGGTGCGTCAGACGAGCCCACGGCCTCGAGGACTCCGGGCCTTCTGCATCCGCCAACCCCACAAGGCTTTGATCCCTGACCCTAAGGGACCCTGCCCCCCATGGGCCCCTGATGTTCCTGTGCCTGCGGCAGTGCTGCCGCCTCCTCTGACAGGGCAGGGCAGTCCCCCCATCCCTGGGCTCTTGGAGACTTGGCGTCAGGTTTTACCTGAAGTAGTGCTTGGCCGTCATCAGGGATAAAAGAACCAAAACCAGGAACAGCATTCTCCGCTTAGAATTCATTGCCTCCTAAGGAAAGGGACGGAGGGTTTAACCCACGAGGAAGCACACCCTGTCACCTCCAGCACCAGATCAACGGGCAGACATCTGGACACCACCCAGGGCCTCGCTTTCAGAGGTGCGGCCTCGGGGAGGGAGCCCGGAGCTGGGACACCCCAGTTCTACGGACAGCGCCTGCCCATCTCCAGGAGCGGGTGCTCCACATGTCCCCCTGGCTGGCGTGAGGAATGCAGACCCCAGGGACGGAGCCGGGGACCTCAGCTGCAGGTGCCTTCCCCAGTGGCCTGTACTCCCTTGTCCTCCCAGGGACAGTAATCTGGTGCCTCCGAGGCCATGGTGGTCCGAGACAGGACTGTAGTGGGGACTGGTATCTAAATCAAAGGCACCAGCCCCCAAAATGGAGCCCGGGCTCTGGCTGGGGCCCAGCTTGTGTTGCAGGTTTGTGTTGCAGAAAAGCCCCCTGGGGGTCGTGCGGAGAGGGGGTGTCAAGGCCAAGGGGAGTCTCTCGGTTTCATCACTGAACACTCATTTGATAACCCCCTGAAACGCGACTGCTCTGAGCTGATGGGGCCTCTGGGCAGGAGCACACTGGCCTTTGAAGACACCCAGCCTGAGAGCAAAGATCTGAAATAGCTCTTCACAGGTTTTGATATTGGTGACACTCTATGTTGGTGACACACTGCCGTGGGGACAGCATGCACGGCACCTGCACTTGCCAAGGTAAGCAAGACGAGCACTTTGTCACAGGGCTACTGGGAAACTGCACGAGACATGGCTCCCATCCTGTTTCCCCTGGCCACTCTGCACAACCCCTGGGCACCTTCTCAGGCCTTTGTAGTTTGAAGCTGTCCATCTTTTAAATTCAAGGTTATTGGAACCAGCATGCGGAGGGGCCAGTGTGGTCCCCCTAGCCACTGCCCTGCTCCCGTTCCCAGCAGCCACCCGCCCCTGCTGGTGCAGCCGACAGCCCTCTGAGGTCAGGTCAGGAGTGGTCACAGCCACCACTGACACCATCCCCCCCACCTCCAAACGCCCCTGGGCTGCCTTTACCTCGGGTCACGGTGGGTAAGGAGGCAGTCAAAGTCGTCCCCCGGGCACAGGTACTGTCCTGTGGCCTCTGTCCAGTCAAGAGTCACACCCACCCAGCTGTGGCTCTCTCGCCTTCTGAAGGTGGTGATGCCGCTGTTCTCCTTTGTGATGCGGGCATCCCTGGCCTGGCCACTGGAGGAGTCCCAGGGTACCTGGAAATGCTCTTCTTGCCTTGCCGTGCCCCTGTGCAGGTGCGTGGCCCACCCCCTCCTAGAGGGCACATCCAGCAGTGGGCGTGGGCATTTCCTGGTGGGCAGAGGAAGCCGAGTCCTGGTCTCCCTGCGTCCGCCCAGGGTGCCCGTCTCTTCCTGGGAGCCTGCTGGTGCTCATTTATTTCCCCGACAGGACACACACCTACGCGCTACAGCACGAAGACAGGGTGTGTGTGGGGCTGCCTTCTCCAGAGGACGTCCTGACTTGTGACCACCACACAGACCCATCAGAGGCGGAGCAGCTGCCTCCAACGCAGGGCTCAGGCCAACTCGCCAATTCCCTTGCGGCTCAGCACTCGGTGATCTAAGAGGAGGATCCCCCGGGGGACGGGCTCCTGAGAATCCGGCGTGGGGTGAGCCAGTCTCTCCAGCTGAGCGCCGGCTGGAGTGCTGCTGGGAGCAGCTCTGCTCTCCAGTGCTGCCGACCTCGCGTCTGCTGGTGCAGGAGCCACCGACGTGTCTCCGTCTCAGCACCTGCTGCCGGATCCTGGCTCCCACTTGGGCCACACACCCCCTCACTGCCTCTGCCCCTCTCTGTGCCCAGCCTGGGCCTCTTCCTGAGGGTCTGGGGGCCCCTCCTTCCTATGGAGGCCAGGCACAAGGGCGCCCCCAGGCCCCACTGCACAGCGGGGCAGGGGCAGCACCTTCCGGCCAGCGGAGCTCTTGCCTCTGTTTTCCGCTGTGGTTTGGAAGGTGCTCCCCACTCGGACAAGAACTTACCCCAGAGTCCTCCGTTAATGGTATCACCGGGTGGGCACGTAATCCTGCTGCCGTATTGAGAAGTGAGGATTAGATTTGGGGTCATTAGGGTGGAGCCCCAACACTGAATCCTGGGTTTTTTTTTTTAAATGGGGCCTCACTACACTGCCCAGGCTGGCCTTGAACTTGAATTCCTTGGCTCAAGCAATTCTCCTGCCTCAGTTTCCTGAATGGCTTAGGACATGTCACCATGCCTGGTTCCTGGTGCCTTTATTAGAAAGGAAGAGACCACAAGACACACACACACATACACACACACACACACACACACACACACACTCCCTGTCTCATGTCTGTGCTGCTTTGGGACTGACAGCAAGAAGACCATCACCAGCTGCAGCCCCTAGATTTTGCACCTCCACAAAATGTGCCAGAATAAACCTCATTTCCTTATAAAGTGAGCTACCCTGGACATTTTGTTATAGTAACAACAACTGACTAATACATTATCTGCCCTGTTTCTCAGTGAATGCCCCTGAAACCAGGTGTGGTGGTGTATCCACGCCATTCAGGAAACTGAGGCAGGAGAATTGCTTGAGCCCAGGAGTTCAAGTTCAAGTTCAAGGCTGCCATGGCCTCACTGCCGTATTAGCATGTGTTTGTGCTTATGTCAAGTGTCAGGAGCAGCAATTGAATTATGGGTCTCAAATTATTCTGTGACATAGGCCATGCCCCTCTGGAGAATTCTCCAAGAAAGGCTTTGATGGAGATAGCCCAGTTGCTATGGTGATGCCCTGTTCAAGGGGAGATTCTGTGCCAGCCTCAGAGTTTTATCAGTTCTTAACCTCGAGTTCAAATGCCACTTACCCGGGGGGTAGGGAGTTATGGGCTCAAACTGCTAATTGGGCTGCAGAGACTTTTATCCTTCACTCTGAGTGCTTTGAAGAAACTTTATCACAATGAATCCTTTTGATGTCTGAACCCCCAGAATAAGTGTGCAGAGCTGCCAGTCCCCTCATCAGAGGCTGCTGAACCCCCGAGTCTGGCTCTTCCTCTGTTTGTCTTTCCTTGCTCCCCTCACAGCCCGTCCATAGCCCTGAATAACCTGTGGTGCAGGTTGCGGCAGGAGAGAACACAGATGTGCTTAGGGAACGTCAATAATTCCATTCCACGGAGCCCTCCATCCAAGAAGGTGGGTGTTTCCCCTTTTATTCAATTTTTTTAAATTTTCTTTTGGGGTCTTTAGAAAGATCATTGTTTTCTTTGTACAGGCCTGTCTCACTTTAGCGTGATCACTACCACTAAATGAAGGCAATTGGGGAATTCTATCTTCCATCACTGGATTCTTGGTCCGAGGTTGTCTTGACCTACTATTGAAACCGAAGGACCTATCATTTCAATAACATACCCATCGAATGTTTCCGCAGATTCAGGGTCAGGGTCATTCAAATAACTTTGGAAGATCCAGGTTATCAGTATTCCTCTGCCAAACACTCATTAGAAGATTCTTGATCTTTTCCCAGTTTTTATTGGCAAGTGTTGTGCTTGGCCATTGAAACACAGGCATTTTTACTTGGCATTTAAGCCTTTCCACAAACCACAGAGCAGAGGCTCCTTCGCAGTATCATCCCAGGGGTTTCTAGAGATTTAAACGTAGTTCCAATCTTTCCCTCGGCACCTATCTGATGGTGAGGGGGCTTAGAAGTAATTTAAGTCAAATTATTGAAAAAGCCATATGTTATAAGTTTTAAAAAAATAGCCACAAAGGCTGTATTGTAGAAACCATGAATAATACTTTAAGTAGTCACTTCAAGGATCCCGAGACCAAGAGCTGGCCCAGGTCTGGTTAATGGCACGCGCCTGTTTCAAGGCCTGACTGTTAGCCTCGGCAGGCCGGCTGGCCACAGGACGCAGGGTCAGTGTCCTTTTCCTCCACCATGACTAGTGATAAGATGAGGCAAGTCGTACCTTTTATAGGTTACCGGATATGTACCCATCCTTCCTCTCAATTCTCACATTTAAGGAGTCTTTTAGGTCTGTCAGGAAGGTAAAAAGGCAGAAGTCAAACATGAGAACATCCTTTGGGTGCCATCTCGCTGAGGATCAAGGTTTCTAGGAGTGACGGCGTCCTCGTGATTCTAGGAGACCAGCCTAAGATCTACCCACTAGACCCTTTATGGCAGGGCATACGCACAACCCACCACTCAGAAAAGGTGTCGCCTTCTGTTGTAGAAGGGTCAGGGCTGTAATACACTGGTGGATGGTTCAGGTAAATACTGGCCTGCGGGAAATTCTATTTCAGCAATCTCTCTGTTTTGACGATTGTCCAGATACATAGTCTTAATCTCTAAGGACCAGCATGACCGGCTGGTTGAGGTTTCTCAGAAGATACTCCCCGACAGCCGGTCCACCACAGGACCCACATTGAGGTGCAGCTGACCACTACAACCAGTACAATTAGTCCAGTTTCATGGGTGGACTCTCCAGTCCTCACTGCAAGGCACTTTAAAGGTGGACCTGAGAAATGTCCCTTGACGTTTGTTGGTGATTTTTGGTGACGTGTCAAGCCCATGAAGCTGCATGGCTGTAAACTCTGCAGCGGGAAATCCACCTCCCCACGATGACCAGCTGAAATTTGACTTAACTTACTAGATCATGTTCAGCAGCAGTAAGACTCTCAGTATCACGATTAGGAAAAAATGTTAAAATATTTTGTAAGACCTACTATGTGCCTGTGGGGTCCTGTTCCCCCCCACTTTTTATTTAATAAAATTGAGTAAAGGCCTGGCGTAAGCATAAGCATAAGTTATAGATAATAGTAAACATATTTGAATAATAAGAAAAGATTTACCGTCTTTAGTTGGTCCTGAATTTTGACAGAAGTTATTTAAAAGGACCATGGTAAACAGAAACTTAGCCTTTACTGAATGCTTGGCTTGATTTTGACTTTAACACAATTACCAAAAATGAAGTATACAATAAGTTGTATATAAAAATTTATATTTTGAAATTAGCTCTAGATTAACTTAAATGATTATCTTAATTTGGAATGAAGTGAGAGAAAGAGTTTATAACTTGGGAGCGGTGGTCTTTGGTAGGGGCATGAGAAACATATAGACATCTGTCCAAAATAGGAAGTACGTATGTTAAATAAGCCTAGAGAAGATGTTTTGGTTTTTTACCATTAATAAAGAATGAACTAGAGAAGTGAATAGTCTTTTATCTACAAATTCATGAAAAACTGTCATTATTGTTATCAAACTTAGTGTTGACCTAAGTAGGGGGAGTTACTATCTCAAATATTAATGGGCAAAGACAAGTCAACAGTGTGGTTTAAGACAGTGATCTAATTTAAAATTTTATAGGACATCGAGCTACAATGACATTTTGAGGAGTTTATGTCAAAATAATTTTGTGTATAAAGAAACGGCTGCACAAACATCCTTAACAACTCCACTCAATGTAGCAAAATTAGCTCCGGCACCATGCATAATCCATGACTTTACTAATTTTAAAAATATCAATGTATGTAGGGCATCACCTTATATTATTAAAAGTTGAGAAAAGGTCTATCATGTTAAATTTTTTATTGAAATAAGCTATCAGCTGTTGAGCTGATTTATTTATGGCTGTCTGTCTAGTATTTTAGGGATAACTATTTTTGGAGTCATTTTTCTCAGTGACAAGGGTTCAAAGTAAGACCCTGTGTTAATGTTTAGAGGCTTTCAAAACCTGATGATAATTTAGAAAAGGAGTAAACTTGTTAATGAGGAAGTTTATTTTTCTTGGGGTGAGATTAGCATTTCAATCTCTTTCTGTCTGTCTGTCTGTCTTTCCTTCCTTTGGTCTCCACTCAACTGTGGTGTGACATTTAAACTTGCCTAGGACTGTGTTGACCTTTGCCAGTCCCAGGGAATGTCTAGGGCTAACTGGATGATAAACCCAACTTTGAAAATGGGTGGCCCCCTAGAAGCTTAAGGTGATTGATGTACTGTCTTTTTGAGTCTCTCTATGAAAATAGGATTTTTTAAAGGCTTACTAAAATTCCTTTTTAGGCATTTTGTTTATGTGTTGGATATCTGTTTGGGGAAGTTGTCTGTGCTCCAGACAGA